TACTCTGGGATAAAATGTCACAAACAGAGCATCACAGAACTGTAAAATAGAGAAGTGGAGGTGCTGGGACTCGAGTTGGTGGCACCCTCACCATGTGAACTGCTCAGCTGCTCACAGTTCTGAGACTGCTGTGTTTACAGAAACACTTTCCTCTTCTTGACTTCTGGAGGGAGACTTGTTAAGAACCTATTTACTCTTTACGGGACAGGAAAAAAGCTCTAGCAATTGTTCTGCTACACATGTTAAGTTGCAGTTATGCTGAATTCCAATGGAGAAATCAAATCATCAGCCTGTGTTTAAAATTCTGGTTCTACCTTGTATTGAATGTGTCTATTATATTACCCTTTCTTCTTGCTCTCACACACAGCAGGAGTTTTTTACAGTCCATTTCACTAAAGCATCCTGGAGAAAGCTGACCTCCTGACCTTATTTAAACTGTGCTCTTCAGTAATACTGCTCTCATTTCACTGGTAGATGAAATGAGCAGCAAGGGGCACACACAGCCCACATCCTTATGGAAGAATTAGGATTGTGCCATATCCCTGCATAGTCCTGGCGACTTCAGCTGATAAATGTACAATGACAGGATCCTTTTAGGAAGCTTTATTTTATACGTTCCCAAAAGATATTGCAGCCATATGAATTTACTGAGGAATCCTAAGAGAACAGCCACGATGTGAATGACTTCAGACAGCATCCTACCTCATGTCATAGCAGAGGAGGTTGTGCAAACACATCACTACCAGCACTGCTGGCACAACTGCAGTGGGTCACTTGACAAGAAATGCATTTTTGTCGTTCATCAGTCATTCAATTCCTTTAATGTAAATGTGAGCTCACTCCTAATTACAAATAGATGAATGAAATACAGAATATTGAAGAAAATGTTTCTCTCAGAGAAACAGGCTAATGGACTTGTAGTTTTCAGGAATACAGTGAACTTGTCCTGAAAGAGTTTCTTTTTGTTTGGGGGGGGTAGTCATGGGAGGAAAACTGGATACTCCAGAGCACAGTCTGATACACGGGTAGTGATGAACACAAACGTGGATGTTGGCTTGTGGTTATAACAGGATCTGATTTTTCTGGGCTTCCAATGCTCTGAATGTGTTTAGAAAGATTTTTATTTTTTAATTTTCCCCCAGACTTTAGAAAAAGTAGATGTGCTACTATTGTTTTTTTTCCTTTTCCCCTCTTTTCTGCCTTGTAATCTTCACTGCTATTTGATTTGGTTTTCTGCCTGGACAGAAAAATTAGAGTTTTCATCTAGACAGAAAAACTTCACTCTTTCAGAAGACAGTTATTTAAAGCAGAACGTTGGAACAACATTTATCAGTGTTATATGCACTACTCACCCAGTCTAGGTGCAGTCAAAACTCTCTTGTTCCTTACCTGTTACTTAGGACCGGAGTAAAATATGGTCTCTCTCAGTGAGTGTTTACATCCTGATTTAAAACACTGTTCACAGTAATGCTGCAAAATGCATCTTCCTGTACAGCTTTAGGCTGCTGCCACCATGCACAGACATGGCTGCAAAGGCTCCTGATTTAAATTCTCCCCACTCTATGTGAGCTGAGAACTGCTGCCTGGATGCATGGAAAACCTCATGGATACAGGGAATGCCATTCTGACTGAGCACTCTCTTATGGTTAACTCGTGCAGTACTTAAAGCACTGCCACCACAAGGTTATATTTTGGGTCTGGTTTATAGGATAGGCCTATTTTTTTGGAACATCCACTGTATGTGGAGGATTTTGTTTCAGGGAAGCTAAGGTGAGGTGGATGGATATAGCCAGATGAATCCCTCAGTTGAATTTTTATAATGTGGGATTTTTTTGTGTACTTGAAAACAAAACAACTGCCCTTAATTATTGTTTCCTTAACAAGCAAAGTGGTTTAGATGTACAGTGTATCAAAGCAGCTGTTGAGAAGGCTCTGATGTGTAATAGCACAAGAAGGCAGGATGGCAAATAAAACTTTCAATAGCATGAAAATTATTGTAGAGATAAGGGGAAAGAAGCTGAGAAGGGTGTTGGGAAACAGTGAATTGTAGTATCGTTGTTAAGAACAGAAAGCTGTATTTTCAGAGGAAAAATACTAAGGAGCTAGAGGAACTGAACATCTGAAGAATATTCTTCAAGAAAAGACATAATATCAGAGGGAAAGAGTTGCAGTTAATGGGGAAAAGCTGACTTTATTGGCATGTAGTGAAAAACTTGTTTGTGAGCTACACTGTGGATTGATTTACATCCTGTGCCACTTACTAAAGGCACTAGGGTTTCACAGGATGTAAATTAGACCAAATACTGTGTCCTGATTTACTGAGACAAATTAGTTTTGTTGGAGATTGGAAGTGTTTTACTGTCCTTGATGAGAACAGCCGTTGGAAAAAGGGGGGCGAGCCTCAAGCGAGGCTGGAGGTGATGTGAAGGTGCAAAGGGATGTTGAGTTAGCGGGACAGAAATACTGCAGTACAAAAGGTCAGTGTTGAGGGCCTTTTCCATGGCTGGATGAAGGCAAAAGAGGCATTCCTAAAGTCAGGAGTCACTGGAGTAGTAGCAGAAACATAAGAGATGGTTGCAATTTGCTGGCAGTTATTGGGAGCATTCAGGTATCTACTGAAAAGCTAGAGAAGAGTTTAGCTTCTTTTCTCTTTATATAGGTGTGTACTGAAGGCAAGCAGAAGGGTTAACTTGTTTAGGCCAAATCATCCCCTGCTGCAGATTTAATTGAGATCAGCAGAATGTCGCCGCTTCCAAGCGAGTTGTGCAGATTTACACCAGTGCGGGTTTGGGACTCAGCCTTTCATCTCTATATTTTTCTCAAATAAATAGTCCATAGTTAGACAACAGACTTGAAAGATAAGTCAGGAAAACACACCAGAATATTAATGCCCTTGTTGGAATGATTTGTATTTTGCCTCTCAGAGAAATTTGGGAGGAAAATGCAGCAAATGAAAAAAGTAATTACTATATTATTAAAAACACCAGCAAGCACCCTAAAACCTGCAGCTGGATTCCTACTAAAAATCAAAGATGCTGTGAAGCTGGATTTGAAGTTCTGAAAACTATTATGCAAAGAGAAGTGTAAATCTTAAGGCCAGTATAGGATGACAGTTTAGTCAATAGCAGGTGAAAAATCAAAATGAAAGTGCTGCGAACTTCACAGTGAGGCAAAATAATAATATACATTTATCTAGCACTTAACATTTCCAAATTGTATGACCATAAAATAATGCAGAAAGTTGCATTGATCTTGGATGCATGGAAAGGAAGAAAGGCCATACCATATTTCTAGAGCCTCTGCAGCTATGAACAAGCTGATGTTAAACTGGAGGTCTGCATTAGAGAGACACTGTGACTAAGGAATTATGGATAATTTAAAAAAGTAAGAAGAAATGAGTGCTTTCTATCTAGATTTAATAAAAAATAACATAGATTGAGCAGCCCTTGGAAAACAAAGTAATTGGTGTTTGAGACTGAAATGCCAGTTACCACTGGCATGTTTTGAGAGCATAAATTGGCAAACAACAGAATATGTCTTTCTGAACTAAAAATTAACTGTGCTCTTAAAAATTGTTTTAAAGACATTTAAGGAAATACACTGATGAGGAGCACCCATCATCCTGAGATACTCAGTGTGTGTTTGCCCACCAGCCCCTCCTGCCAGGGCCCCCCGTGCCCTGCTGGGGGGCACAGGGCAAGCAGGGACAGGCAAAAGTGGCCTTCTTCATCAGCATCCATGGAACAGCAGCTGAAGGCCCGGGGTCAAAATGCCCACTGCCTGCAGACTGTATTATGCCTCATGCTCATGTACAGACTGGACTGGGGGGGAAAAATCTGAACAAAATGGTGATGATCCATCCAAGTAATTAGAGATGTGACTGATCTCCCTGGGGCTAATTCTGTATATAAAGTTCAGTGTATGCCTAGAGGGTTTCCTGAATACCTTCAGAAAGTTCATTCACTCTTAAATTTGAGAAATAAATCAGGGTAAAAGCACAGTAATTGGCAGCTCTTGGGTTTGACTTGCTTTCTGACATTGCCAGTTGACTTCACTATGGGAAGGAGGGACGAAGGCAAGACCCAAGTTCTCAGAAAAGGGACTGTGTTCAGAGGGCTCTGTGGTGAATTTGTACATTTGCAGCCTCAGACAAATTTATTTTTGTAGTTGCCAAATGTGAGGGCTTTTCATAAGCGCCATCTGTGGAATGAAAGGCAATCCAGGCTAAAATGTGCACAGTTGCAAATATTAGAAAATATGGCTATTATAAAAAGTCATAAGAACTTTATGCAAATGTTCCATCTCCAGTGGAAGGGCCAGATTCCAATATCACGCATGATGCACAGGAACAGATTTTTCTTAGGTATGCTGGGATGCCCACACTGTGCCTGAGATTAGAATCTGTCCCAAAAATGGATTATTGGGATATGAAAGAGCCAATGATGAGGAAAATCAGATTTTACTGAGCTGGGTTTTTTTCCTCTCCCTTACTCTGTGAGAGTTGGCTTTCAGCATAGTTCTTGATCTTTGTAATTCATTAGGAAAATTGGCAATAAAAATAATGACAAAATGTAAGAACTAATTTTCCTCTTTAAGAAATTCACATCATCAAATTAGGACAGAGAAGTGATCTCTCTACACCCAGTTGCTCAGAGCAACTGGTAAATTTTGACTCCATGGAGCATTACCTGAAGCAAACAACAATGACTCCATTACCGAGGGATTCCTCTGGGGTGGTGTTATCAGGGACTGGTAGCAGCACAGTTCTGGTGGTGTGGAGGTTGCATGCAGGTTAATTTACTCTGCAAATCCTATTATCAGCAGATCTTCATTTATTTAAATCCCGAAATTATTATCTTTATTCCCCCCCCCATATCCAAATACTGTCTTTTGTTCTTGTCTCTTTGGGGAGGAGGTAAATGGGATTTGGATACAAGCCATAATTATTCTGGGAAAATCACCCTGCAGCATTGATTTATATGCAAAATTTTGCCTTGCAGCAGCTTGACAGCTACACAAGACTAAGAAGGCAAAGGCTACAGAGCAGAAGGCTCTTAAAAGCAAAGGCTTCTTAAGTGAAATATTGGTGGTCCTCACCTCTTGTCTTCAGTTCTCAGTGACCCAGGGTTAGCAAGAGAAGTCGGTACAGCTGTTCCATTCTCATCTCCAGAGTAACCCGGCACAGGCCAGGTAAGAAAATCTCCTTGGATAGGGGATGTTTGATTTTCTAACATGGGATGGTGAGGGGTGCAGTGAACCAAGCTCCCATTCACTGGCCAGGGGCAGAGCTGAAGGAGCCCTGAGTCAGAAAGCCCCTCATGACTCCTTCAACATTGAGCAGCAGCTGCAGCATGTTTCCATGGTTTTGGATTAAGAGATGTTTTCTTGGAACGCCGAGGGATGTCTGATGTTTTGAAGTTTAGAGTGTTCCTAATGACTTCCACAAAAATCACAATATCACTTGGTTCTGAAAATTAGGCCCCTGGTCCAAACGGCCATATAGGAAAGAAAGGACCAGACCCCTCAAAGTGTTTTGTTGGATCATTATGGTATGTTGTGACAAATAACTGATGCCCAGTTTTGCCTACCCAAGGCTGGAGCCAGGCTTCCTCTGAGGGCTGCCTGGAGCTGCAAACCACCAAGCTCCCTCTGGCAGCAGACTCCTCAGAGCAGCAATTAAGGAATCCTCCTGATGATGCTTTGCCATCATTGTGAACGCACTGTGAAAATCTTTTCAGCCAGAGTGACACCTTCTGAAGTCATGGGGCAATAAGGACTGGAGCAATCAGTGCTTCACTCATCCCATCCAATCACCAGGAGCAGGATCTTTTCCAGGAATAAGTTCCTCTTCTATGGCTTCTGCCTTCTCTGTGGCCCTGATTTACCTTTTATCTTCTGAGCAGCAGAGCCTGGTTTTCTCCGCACCAGCAGGGAGCATCCAGGTGGTTCTTCCTCCTCTCTCTTCATCCAGGCAAATTTCTACCAAAGAAACAAACAAAACATAATTACAAAAGCTTGGAGCTTCATTAAAAGCATCTCAGATTTTAGTAACCCAAGTATTGGCCTGCTATTTTTCAAGCTTTTTTTCTAGATGACAGTGATAGTTGAGTGTCACATCATTACAGCAATTGGTTTATTTTTAACCAGAAAAAAAAAAATTGTCTTTATTTTATACTTGAAAATTTGTACAACTTTTTTTAAATCTTCCAATAATTCAGCTGAGGGATGTATGTGCAGTACTAAATTGCTAGGTAGAAGAGTTTATAATAGGAAACAGTAGACCAGCCTGTTTTTATCTAGGGAAAAAAGTACTCTCTTTGACTTTAAAAGAAAAAAAATTAAATAACACAAAGTAAATCTGGAGGGGAAAAAATCCTGCTGAAATCAAACTCTTATTGATTGGCCAAACAGCAAAGTGCACTCTCATATCTGTCAAAAAATAATTTCAGGCTAACACAAATTTATTGAAAACATCTGCTCCTCTAATTAGCATACTAGGTCTTTATCATCCTTACTTGTTTGAAATTCCAGACTGCTTCATTACAACAGGAGGTATTGTGATGCAGAAAAGTTCAACTTGGATGAAAAAGCAGCTATCACTATTGATTTTTAAAAAATAAAATATTAAATCTGAATATATTTCTGTGTTTTATAATAACAATAAAAATATTGAAACAATAAAAATTAGAAGTATTATTAGGTCATATATGTCAGGAACAACACAAAGTACAAATCTACAACAGAAGTTTCATCTAAGAATAAAATTTCATCTAATAATAAAATTTCCTCTAATAATAAAATTTCAAACTCTTTTCTAGTTGTAAATATTTGAAAAGTATCTACTAGCCCCTCCAATTCTTCTTTTAATTGGGCATTTTGGAAAATGTTCTGTTTGATTCTCAGAGTGTTTTTTACACTGCCTGTGAAATACAAATCCCAGAGCCCAGCCTGTTAACCAGTAGCCTCTGTTTCCTGTGAAATCCTGCCGTGGTGATAAACACATCTCTGGGTGAACTGTCACTGTGAACAGAGCAGGGCCATGGGACACCACGACGAGAGTGTAGTCAGCTCAATCCCTTCTATTTTGTCCTGCATATTATTCTTCTGGATTGTGTCAAGCTCTAGACTCTGGCTTTTAGCATTTCAGCTACTGGCTGATCTAGAACATTGCCAAATATGGATACTTTTGACTAAAGGTGGAAGCAACTTTGCAAACAGAATTATGAAATTGTGCCATTTAGGGCTGCACAGCCCTGTCTCAGGGGGGACAATGAGGAATGTAAGAACGGCTACACAGGGGAGAAAAATGTGTCTCTGCTCAACCCAAACCTTGGCCAGCATCTCAAAATACCTCGCTGTGGACAAAGTGAGCTGAGCCAGGGAGCTGCTGAGATCTGTATCATCTCCTCTGATGACTGAGTTTATTTCTGTAGGCAGGTCATGTAACTGCCTGGATCAAACTCTCCTTTGTTGTAAACCCATGACACTTCATGTGTTTCATTGTACGTCTGTCAGCTGAGGAATTTACCCAAATTCTGCCTCTGGAATGTGTCAAGCTGGTGCATGAACTCAGAATTATCCCTCCAATATTATAGGTTCACAAGACATTTTGGACTTCGGAAATTAAAACCTGCTACCAGGCTGATAAAAACGACTCCTTGACTCCCACGCTACCGCTTTTAAGAATAATGCCAATTTAATATTGAGTAGAGATATGTCGCTCTGACCCTAAATGAGTACAAATGAGAAAAACATTATTACTAGTAAGCACGAAGATATGTTCCACCATTGTTAACAGAAAGACAAGACTGGCTACATTTATGACTGTTTCCTTTCACAGCCCTGTCAGGGATATAATTTCAAAAACTTTCAATATGCTAGGTGTTCTGTTGTGGGTTTTTTTTCTCTTTCTCTAGGCTTGCACAGATTTTAGACTACTTTACCTAAAAGAAAAATTTATTCAAGGTGAAATATTCCTTTAGATTGAGTCACATCTAGTCTAGTAGGAAAATTTGTGCTTAATGGCTTCTCTTGTTATTATCAGTTCTTTCTGAACAATGGGAACTTTTTTTTTTACTTTTTCAGTAATTTTCTTTATTGAGAGTTATGTTATTTTAAATTATTGTTCTGTCACTTGGGGGAAGGGTTGTCAGTAAAAGAGAGACAATCTATGGGTGTCTCAAACTCACCTTTGCTGGGGCTATGGGTGACACTGCACAACTCTGAATGTTCTTGAACTGTTGCTGTTGGGTTGGTAATCAGGGTAGATACAAGGCTCTTCTGGGGCAAGAGAAATTTATTTCATCACCTTTTCCAGAAGTTACTGCTTTTGGGAGTGGAGCCTGGGGGATGGTGGAGCCAGAAGCCTGCTTTATTCTTTGTTGATGGTATCAAATTTTAAAACAGTCACATCTGAGCATAAAAAAATACCCCGTGATCAGTATATTACTGCAGTTCTTGGACAGTGTAACTGGTAGTGGAGGCACACTGCTAGGATGTCTCTAAAGCATACCCCCTGTGACATGCAGATAAATCCCACGGCGTGGGAAAGCTGAAGGAAAGTGTCAGACTGCATTTATTTTAACTTTTTCTTCTGTGCAATTCAATTGAGCTAGTGGAAGGAATGACTGCTCCAGCATCCCCTTCCAGCTGCGGATTTCTTACTCCCAAAGGCCTCTCCCGGACAGGGAGCAGTGCAGTAGGAGGTGCTAAAAGCCACTAATTAGGACTGTGATTAACTGTGATTACCTGAGAAATCCTCTCCTCCTTCGGGATTCCAATACACTATTTCAGCTGTAGTTCCTGTTAGCATTAAGGCCAGTATTACCCTCCTCGGATATTGCCTAGAAGTAAAACTGTAGTATTTTTAACAGTAAAGCATTTTATGTGCAGCTGCACGGAAGCAGCAAGGGAATTGGCTGGTCAGCCTCACCTCTATCTGCTATAGCTGCCTCTGCTCTCGGAGGAAATGAGGATTCAGGGATCATCTGGCAGAGCTGTGCAATGGAGAAGGGCTTTTGAAAGCAGCCAAGTTTGCCTTTCAGGAGGAGAGAACCTGAGTGGAACTTCAGGGACAGAGATTCTGCATGGTTTGACATCATTTAGGAGAGGTAGCTGGTTTCATCAACAGCTCCCAGACCCTTGAACAAAGTTTTAAGGGAAGGAAGGCACTTCAGCCCAAAAGACCTGGTAGCAGGAGAGCTGCACACTTTGAGACGTGAGCAATACCTTGCAAGAGGTGCAAATCCTAGCAAAATGCAATATCTAGATTTGAGTATAATTCTGAGAGGAGAAAATTGTAATTTTTAATTGCATGGTAGACAGTTTGCTGACAATTTTAGGTAGGAAAAATAATGTGCTGCAGAGATAAAAAATAAATGAGACTGTGTGCTGCGTAAGGCTTGGCTAAAGGGAACCCACTGTAGGAAGAGAAAACTGAAGTGATAGTTATCTTAATCCATTACTAAAATGTGTCTTTAATATTTTCATATATTGCTTTCTTCTTCTTGACATCCCCATTATTTGTGCTGAACACACTTGAGATGCTCAAAGCAACGCCTCTGCCTTACCAGGGTTGGAGGAGGGGAACTCCAAAAGGTTAGGTGGATGAGAAGAGAGATTTCTTCTTGCTGCTGTGGCAGAGCTGGTGCCAATTGCCCTGTTCGCTGCTCATTTGCCGTGGTGAGGGCTTGTTAAGCACTAGGCAGGGCTCGCAGCGCTCCTGCCCTTGGGGAAGCAGCGCTCCAGGGGGAGCCTGGGCACGGCACCGGGCAGCGATCAGCTGAGAGAAGCAATCAAACCCCGATGCCTCATTTCCAGAACTGAACCAACGCTAATAATACCCGTTACAGAAGCGTCGCCTTCTTGATCTATTTATTTTCTTATTCCAGTGGGGAGATAACCCTGGCTTTCTCGTCGTTCCTAGTGGTGGTTCAGGTAAGCAGTTAATGCAGCATACCTAACTGAGGGTTGAGCCTAATTTACTGCAGCTCACAACTGCAGCCCCTCTAGATTAGGAGGGTAACTTTGTTCTTATTTTGAGGCCTCTGATTATAACATTTCGGCTCTCCTTCCTGTAATCTAAAGATTTGGATCAGTGCTTGGCTGGCCGTGCAACTCTATAGTCTTTGCAAGGTGGAGTGTGGTGGTTTTGTTCTCTTAGGTAAGTGGGGGATTTTTGATGAAAAAGA